TTCCTATATAAAAGTATAAAAAAAAATGTTAGAAAACGTTTTTTAAAGTAATAGTTTTGCAAAAAAAAATTAATAAAATCAGAACGTTAACTAATGTTCCGATTGAAAATATTAAATGAAAAGTTAAAAAACGTTTCATAAAAAATAAAAATGTTAAAAATTGGAACATTATTTCCGATAAAAAATTAAAAAAAAATCCCAAAACGTTTAAAACTGTTTTGTTTAGGAATGAAGTTAGATGAAGATAAAGTTTCGAAACTTTAGTTTAAATAAAGTCTAAATTCGGTAATAGATCAACTAATTGCCAGATTAATTTTACTGTGGCTGCGGCTTAGTACATCATAAGTTGATTTTGAAAAATCGTTTATTCGAATAACTTCTGAAATTGAGACAATTTTTCCATGCCCAAAAGTTTTGATTTTGACCAGTGCAATTTGATATAAAAGTGCCATAAATCAGACAATATTAGGCAAATTTTAAGCTGTTAATCAAATATGATAATTTTTTGCTAAATTTTTATTGAATTTTTATTGAATTGTTAATTTTCCATAAATCTGAAGTACATATTTGAATATTGGGCAAATTTAGGTTGATTTGCTATTTTGTCCATTTTTTTTTTAATTTCAACCAGCATCAATCAGCCGTCAATCAAATATAATGATTTTTTGCTGAATTTTTATCAAATTGTCTGATTGGCATCAATCAGATGTGCCGATTTATAATATTAGTCAATTTTGGTCTGATTTTTGGCCGATTTTCCATATGTCCAATTTTTTTAATTTCGACCAGTGCCAATTTCCATTATGACACCTCTCCAGTGACTTTTTCCTGACCAACAAGTCTTTTTCTCCGCTTCAGGCTTCAGAATGGTCCTCACTTGGTATTTTTGGACGCATTCTGCTATAATCCGAGGAATAAATTGGCTTAACAACCTCTCAGATTTTCTGAAGAGTCAAACAGTCCTCGTCCGATTTAGTGTCTTGGCCTACTGGATTGTAGGGTAGGATGGATTGGACTTGGGTAGTTGATCTGAAACTTTGCTTTTTTAGGTTTAAAGTTGGGATATACAAATTTAGGTTTTATAGTTTAGTTTCTTCTCTATATGTATAAATTTGTGCGGCTATTTGTTTTTAGTTAGATATTTATTTTATTTTTACTTCTTTTTGTAATATGCGAATAAATCTTAATAAATTCACTGTTAGAATTTCAAATGTAAGTTGTGAACAGTTCTCGTCCGATTTAGTGTCTTGGCTTACTGGATTGTAGGGTAGGATGGATTGGACTTGGGTAGTTAATCTGAAACTTTGCTTTTGTAGGTTTAAAGTTGGGATATACAAATTTAGATTTTAAAGTTTAGTTTCTTTTCTATATGTATAAATTTGTGCGACTATTTGTTTTTAGTTAAATATTTATTTTAATTTTTACTTCTTTTTGTAATGTGCGAATAAATCTTAATAAAAATCATCACTGTTAGAATTTCAAATGCAAGTTGTGAGAGGATTTACATAACTCTTTCCCTGATTTTTGAAATTACTAACAAAATTTATTTTTGAAATTTTCGTTCAAAAATTTCTAAGTGCTCGTTCAATATACTAATATTTCTCCAGTTGCTTTCCTCTTTACTGAACTTTTACTATGACTACACCTTCAGCTCCTTCTGTTATTAATCCAGATATTTCATCACTGCCGCATCCTGATACCTCATCTCCTTCTGGAGACTGGCTTCTGTCTCCCAATAATACCGCTGGCGCGCCTAACAAATGTTCGCGTACTGTCTCCGATGACGCTATGAATGTTGATATAACTTCGCCTGTTACTCCTGTCTCCAACCTTATATCCAGTGTTCCTTCAGGTCTTCCCATCAATAAAGTCCAAGTGATCACTTCTCCCGACAATACTACCACTCCCGTTGAAACTGTTGACGCCTCTATTCATGCTTCCTCTAATACCGCAAAGCTGTTAACTTTTCTAATCTGGCCCGCGCTCCTTCCTCTGATACTTCAAAGGCTTTAGTGCAGTCTACCTCCTCTTATTATCATGCTGCTGCATATTTATGTGACATGCCTGATGCATTCAAATCTAAATTTACTACCAACCGTGCTATATGCGACAAAGTCGATCGTGCCTTCTCCAAACTTTCCTCTTATAATTCCCGTGCTCGTTGTGAAGGATCTGGTGACAAAAAGAGAATCCTCGTCTCCTTTTTTGCACAGGCTGATCTTACCTCTTCTACCTCTGGTTCATATGCTGATTTTCTCGATTTGGTCTTTGTACAATACTCCTCTGCAGACGCAAAATGAAATGTCGATACCAAATCTTTGTTTATTACCAATATTCCTTTGTTCCTTACTGAAACACAAGTCCACTTAGCTTTCTCCTGTTATGGTTCTGTTGTGCATTGTAAATTTTCCCTTCAAAATCATTATTATACTGCCATGGTACAATTTAGCACTGCCGATCCAATCGCCAATTTGATGACATATGGGCGATCCTCTGTCTCGATAACTCCCTACATATTTGTCTAGCTACATATTCAAAAGCCCAACGTGATGCACGAAGACAATATGTAGCAGTTCTGGCTGGTATTCCAAAAAATATTAAAGAAGCTGACTTAACTGATATCGCCAACCAAGTCTCTGCTAAAGCGATCAATATCCCGCTTTCCTACACTTTTTACAAACTCAAGCCCTATGTGTATATAAATTTTTTCTCACAAGAAACTCTCGATTCAGCCTTGAAATTGACTGTCTCATTCAAGAATCAAGGTCTCACTTGGCATTTACCTGATCAAGTCAAGAACCTGCCATGTATACGGCCGTATAGGCTGCTCGCTATTCTAGTGTTCTCCCTGCCTTGCCAACAAATCCTCTGCACAGCTAGACAAATTATACTCTCGATTTAAAACTGGCCCTCAAAGAGGTCGTAATCCGAATCAATTCTTCCGTCATTCTTCTTCACGCTCGCGTTCCTGTTCTTGTCCCTCCTGTTCTGCCCATAATACTGGGAACAGGTCAAATAATTCTCGTCAATCTGGACAAGGACACCTTTCTAATACTCCCTTCTCTACCGGTCCTTCATCTTCCCGCACTCAACAATCACAGCCTATAGGTAGGCCATTAGTCACTCCACCTACCCAAACTTACCCAAGTATAACTCCAGAAGAGATAGCTGCTCTTCGGTAACAAATCTTGGATTTATCTGCAACCGTCCGTTCCTTGAATGAACGAGTTGATTGGTTTTTTGCTCAGCTTAAAAGCCATGAACTCCGAATTGCTGAACTGGAAAGTTCTATCTTCCTACATGACACTTCTATGCACAGCCAGATTATGAGACATTTTTGGAAAATCGTGATTCATGATATGACTCTCATGATTAAATGAACAATTGGGACGAAACTGGCCCAATTTCCCAGTTTGAATACCAACAATTATCCTCGCCGAATATGCTAGTACATCTGTTCCCTAATACATCTTTCTCTCATAATGATGCTGCAAATGTCCTTTCCTCTAGACATGCACCTCTCCTCTCGACTACTACTTTACAACCCAGACGTGATCCTATTCTTTCCTAGGCTTTTGATTATAATAAAGAATTGAATAACATTACTTCTACTCAACAAACCATTCATCACTAGTCAAAAACCAATATATCGGGTAGCAGATATATATCAGATATGTACCCGATATGTGTAGTATTAATGCAGAAAATCGGGTACCCGATATGTGTAAGATATGTGTAAATATATATATCATATACATATCATTTACATATCATATACATATCGGTACCCAATATGTATATGATATATATATTTACACATATCTTATACATATCGGGTACCCGATTTTCTGCATTAATACTACACATATCGGGTACATATCTGATACATATCTGCTACCCGATATATTGGTTTTTGACCAGTGCATGTACAACTTAGTAACATTCTAACTAGGCTTGATGGATTATCTCCTTTCCCAGTAACTACAGCATTGCCTGATAATAATACCACCACTTCATTCCCGCTGCTCAACAGTTGGGTGGTTGAAACTAATTCCTGATCCTTTACAATTATTTTAATGAGTGACAACACTCATAACAGGGTACAGCAGGACCTTCTTTCTGCTGATAGTTCAGATCATATTAATTTTCATAATAATTCTTATTTTCCATTTCATATTTCTTCTTCTGTTCATTCTTCTGATTTATCTTCATCTAATATTTTGCGGTTAGGCTCTCTTAATGTTCGTTTCTTAGTTAGCCCAACTAAACAGTTAAATCTTTTTCCATTCTTATATCCTATGTTTTACATGGTATTATTTTAACAGAAACCAATTTATGTTCTCCTGCTCATCGTTACATTTGTAACCCTTATTTGACTTTTTATAATTTTCATTCTTGGTTTATACATTCCTCTACTGCCAATCGTCATTCTAGTGTTGGCATTATTTTACACTCTTCCTTGGCTATGTATGTAATTAAAAAGAAGTTTTTTAACGATAGATTAATTGGTTTAACTCTGCAACTTTCAGGAAAATGTAATGTGGTTCTTATTGGCGGTTATATTCCTCCCGTTAGTAACTCGAATCGCTCAATTATCGCTGATTGCCATTCCACTCTTATCTCATGGATTCATTCCGCTAGGCTTTTGAATCACAATGTTCTTCTTGGTGGTGATTTTAATGCGGTTTATGAACATTTCTTGACACAGATTTCTGCTAATCATCCCTTTGAACTCTCTATTCAAAATGCTTCACGAACAACATTTTGATGATTTATGTGAAATTGATAGTGATTCACTTCATCTATCTCCTACTTTTTGATCCACGAGTTTTGGTTCTTTGTTCTGACTTGATTATATTTGGATTTCTCCTTCCTTTCCTATTCCTTATCTTTGGTCTTCAGTTTCAGATTTGACGAATGTTTTTCCTACTGATAATTTTCTAGTTACAGCTCATTTTGATTTCTTTACGCTTACTAGAAAATAACATGCATCCAGTTATATCAAACAACGTCAACGTGGTCGTACTTGTTTTGATTTTTACTCTGCCATCTCTAAACAGAAGGAAGCTTTTATTAAAGAAGTTTCTTCTTTATTATCTAATACGTCCTCCTTTCTCTTCGTTTTAACTCTAAATCAAATTTGGCACTGATTCAAATCTGCTTTGTTATCTGCTGGTCGCTCTTATTTTCCAAAAAAAATAATTTCGTTGATGAAACTTAAGGCTATTCCTCATGAGTTGCAACCTTTTATTCATTTGAGACATAGTCTAGACCATTTTACAATGTTCTTGCGAAAACTGACATCTATTTCCCGATTGACTACTTTGTGGTCCCATTTTTTCAATAATTTTGAACCTGCTTTTAAAGAATTATTTCCTAATCACTCTGGACTCCTTAATGGTCTTACACATTCTTCACAACTCCTGGTGATTTTCAAGTCTTCGAACTTTTCTTATATTGAATTTTTAATTCAATTTCAAAAATCTTTGTGGAAGTTAAAGCGGTTCCTCTCAACTAGTAACACTTTGGAATTTGACAAATTCAAGATTGCTTCTATAAAATCAGCTATTTCAGAAAGAAATATTAATTTCTATGAAAATAAAGGCAAATTTATTTCCAGTTCTTTAAATCGAGAAAGGTGATGTATTGTTCTTGATCGAGTTCTGGTTGTAGATACTCCTGATTGTCCTAAACTTTTAGTTGCTCCTGAGGAAATCAAAGATGCAGCCATTTCACATTTCCAAAATATTGTTGGTCCTTCTATTTTTCTATTTGATTTTCTTTCTTTTCTTCCCCGCGATAACAGAAACAATATTCTCTGTTAGAGCAGTTCCATGAATCCTTATATGATTCTGTAATGTCACATATTTCTATTTTAGAACTACGTGAAGTCATTTCAGCCTCCCCTATACACAAAGCTCCTGGTCCCTCCTCCATTTCTTATGAATGGTTCAAATTGCTTTCAGATACTTCTCTCCAGTTCTTATGTAAACTTATGAATCGTTACCTCGACTATTCAGATATTCCTGAAGACTGGCTATTGCTTCCATTCTAAAATTCCACGAATTTGATGCCTTATTGAAAAATACTCGGCCTATTACTTTGTTGGAAACAGCTTGGAAATTACTTGTCAAGATTATTAATAATCGACTTTTCAGCATCTTTTCCTCGCACCATGTACTTCAAGGCAACAATTTTGCTGGTTTACCTGGTTCCTCTGTGAATACTCCAATTAATGTTTTAGATGGTATCATCAAAAGTCATCGACTCTCCCAGTCCTCACAAGAACTTTGGATTTTAAGTCAAGATATTTCCAAGGCGTTTGACTCCATTGATCTCTGAATGTTGCGATTAGTTTTTAACCATTTACGGTTTCCTGCAAATTTGTCTAATTTTATTATTAGTCTTTTTACCAATAGGAAAAATCGCATTTTCATGCCTTATGGTCTCACTTCACCTTATAACATTCTGATAGGCATTGATCAAGGAGAAGTTATTTCTCCTCTTTTATGAACCATTTATTTTAACCCATTGCTTACAGAATTATCTGACTCTGCTATCTCCCCATACCTTTGGTCTTCTCATATACCCAAAGATATCCTTTCTTAAAATAACAATAAGCACTTGGATCCTATTATCCCGATTACTCAACTCACCTACATGGACGATTCCACGCTTATTTTTGCCTCATTGGATGGTCTTCAACATCTTTTATCTATTGCTAGGGACTTTTATTTTCTTAATAATATCACTGCAAATTTTTCCAAATATGAACTAGTTTGCTCTTTGTCTAGTTAATTCCCGATAACATTTTTCCTTTCTTCTGAATTTTTGTCTTTAATGGAAACAATGGATCTCCAATTAATCCCTTGAAGCTTTCATCTTTTTTTCGCTTCTTAAGCATATGGTTTAATCTGCAAGGCTCTCTTTCCTTTGTGATTTCTCAAATCAAGGATATTTATTTTGCACTGCGTTTTAAGAAACTAACCTCTGCACAATTGGCATACCTACATTCTGCTGTTATCCTTCCAAAGGTTTATTTTCGATCTCAAGTCACTTATATTCCAGAAGCAACGCTTACACGAACTATTGGATCATATTATGGGATCCATAAGAAATTGCTTTCTCTTTCCCATATTTTTCCTTCTTTGGCTTTATCATCAAAATTTTTTAATGAAGATACCAACCCTTATACTTATTTGTGTCAACAACTTATTTCCCGTTTTATGGCTTGGGTCTCCCTTTATTCTTCAGGTTCTATATACTCCAATTGGATTGTTATTACTTTTCGTACTCTTCAATGAGCTCTGAAATGGCCCTTTTCTTTAGATATAATTTTGGATTTTTCTAAATAGAATTCTAGTCGAAGGTCAATTCATCATAATTGGATTTTTCAGACTTTACATATTCTTTATAAGAGTAGTTTGACTATTAAGCTTCCTGCTGCCCTTTGTCTGGATTTGATGTCTACTCATTTTGTTCTATTAGTCACTTTATCTTCTGAACTTGCGAATTTTGAAAAAGCTACTTAGTTATTTTCTCCACTTTGGTGTCTCATGCAACTTATTGATCCTTTTCACCAATTTATATATACTTGGATGGATTTAAAAAGAATGAATTTGGTCTAAAACTGGCAAAACTCCTTTCCAGTTTATTCATTTTATTAATATACCCGATTTATGTTTCCATTTATCAGCTCCTGTTATGCCTTTACAATATCCTTCTTATTTATTGAAATTACAAGATTCTGCCCTTGTTACTATTGATGAGCACTCCTATATTAAAGCCCGTAATCGGTATTACTGGATTGCTGGATTAGGTGAATCTGATTCTATGATCTTTAAATGTGTTTTTTATACTGTTGATGTCTATGGCACTCAAATTGTATATTTCTCACATTGGATTATTTCTTCTTCTAATCGGTCTATTATCACTCCCTGACAAGGTTGTTCCTTACAATAGTGGATAATCCTCTTCAAGTGCGATCTGTTGGATCTAAATTGTTTCACTGATCTTGTTTAACTTTTCTTCTTTCTTATAGATGTTTACAATTATTTCATATGTCTTCATGTATAGATTCTACTTGTAATAATATTAATTTATTTCTTTCTCCTTTTTTATTATGTTCCTTTTTTAAAATTTTATTAGGATATTCTTATGTCCGCATTCCTGAGTTATTCCTGATGGATTCTTCTTTTCCTTCTTTATCTAAAAGTACAATTGTTTCTCATCAACTACCCGCTATTTCTTTTGACATTAATCCCAAGCTATGTCTTGGCATAGAACATTACATTTATCTCCATGCGAAATGCTCTAAATCCAATCCTATATCCTCTAATGAAATACCTTGCAGATAGGTACAACGAGATGATACTCTTATTTTTACTTCAGGAATTTTTTCATGGTCTAATGGACCCATTTCACCACAAGCCTCTGAACTGGGATTTATTCTTCGGGTTCTTCGAATGTTACCTCAAAGGAGTTCTATCACCTTTTATTCTTCACGGCCTATGATTACCTATTTTCCACTTTCTGATGCTCCTCTTTGAAACAACGCGTCTACCTTCCTTATTATATTCTATAGATGGCCATTTATAGTCAAATACAAGAATTACGTCTTGACTGCAACTTCCAAACTATCATAGATGTTTCTACTGATTTGTATCTTTTTCGATGTCTGGTTCTTGCTGAACCTTTGTCTTATGATGACCTTTCTCTTCCTTTTAATTTGTTGATAGATTCTTTTTCCTTTCAACGTCTACTTGTTACTTCTTTATGTACTGAAATCCCTCTTATTATTGATTCAGTCATTTTTTGGCAAACCTCTCAGATATGCGAGTTTTCTTCAAAATTTTGAGCTTATCCAGATTTACCACTTTACAATCCTCTTACTCCTTCATTGATTAGAAATTAACCTTTGACATCTTGAAAGACACGCTTTATGATTATCGATTGGATGTTTCACGTATTTCTACTTCTTACAGATTCTGCTTGCAATTATAGTTTGACGAACTTCCTCTTATGTCCCGCCTGCTGTTCCAGTACCCAGATTTATACGCAGATGATTTATTTTATCTCAATTGTGGAATATTTATGGAAACTCTTAAGCACTTTTTCACCTGTTCACCAGATATCCTTCCGTCTAATAGTAATACTTCTGCTTATTTATCACATTGAAATAAGTTAACAGAACTCCTGAAATGTTTTATAACTCATCTAGCCTAGGGATTGGAATCGATTAATCGAAAATCGACAAAATATAGTAAAATCGATTCTTGAGAATCGATTCTCAGCAATTTTTTACATATAAGTTAACCTGACTCCAAAGTAATTCTTCATGCCGGCCAAGTGCTGATTATTTTTGCTGAAATTAGAAACTGATTCAAAGTCAGGTTGGTCGTCTATAAGAAAAATCTTGAAAAGATTCGATTTTCGATTCCAATCCCTAATCTAGCCCAGAAAGCTTCTGCCTCTCCTAAAGTCCATTTGAACTTTGACGCACTACTTTTACAATTAAAGACTCTTTCTTTCCTTGAACTTTTTTTTCTTCAGAATTATTCTGACTATTTAACCTTTACTAGTCTTTAGTTTCTTCGAGGCTTTATTTCGTGAGATTTCTCTTCTTTAATTATTTCAAGCTCTGGCTTATCTCGGCATGATGCTTCCAATAGGACCCCGGATATCTCCAAAACAGGTCATAAGTCACACTTTCGGCAGATTGGCCCATTTTTCAGGGCTCAAAAAATCGTTTTTTGTAAATATCTCGGCATCCAGTGGTCCAATTTTGATGAACGTTTTTTTAAATTGTAGAGCTAAATGAGGGCTACAAAATTAAAAAAAGTTCATTAAAATTGAATTACTGGATGCTGAGATATTTACAAAAAACGATTTTTTGAGTTTCAGCAAAAAGGGGTGTTTTTGGCCAAAAGTCCATTATGACCTTTATATTAGATATCTGGGGTCCTCTTCCAATATTATTACAAGAAATTTTTTCAAACTCTATCGTGAAATTTACCATCAATTTTGGCGACCTAGATGTAAGATGAAATCTCTCAAGAATAAGGTGATGCATATTACGCCTGCTTTACTTCGCATGACTAAGAGTTCTGATTATATGAACTTTCACTTTGACACCTCTCCAGTTAATTTCTCCTTGACCAATGAGTCTCTTTCCCTGCTTCAGGCTTCTAAATGGTCCTCTCTTGGAATTTTTTGGACACATTCTGCTATAATCCGAGGAACAAATTGGCTTAATAACCTTTCGGATTTTCTGAAGAGTTGAACAGTTCTCATCTGATTTAAGGTCTTGGCTTACTGGATTGTAGGGTAGGATGGATTGGACATGGGTAGTTGATCTGAAACTTTGCTTTTTTAGGTTTAAAGTTGGAATATACAAATTTAGGTTTTATAGTTTAGTTTCTTCTTTATATATACAAATTTGTGCGACTATTTGTTTTTAGTTAGATATTTATTTTAATTTTTACTTCTTTTTGTAATATGCGAATAAATCTTAATAAAATTACTGTTAGAATATTAAATGTAAGTTGTACTGCAGACGCTACCACTAATAGCGTGAAGGTACAGGGATTAGTTGCACTGGTAAAAAAATGGTCTATCCTACACATATCCTACACATATCTTACATATATCGGGTACTCAAAATGTAGAAAATCATATACAAATAATACACATATCATACACATATCGGATACTTATATATATAGTATACCTATCAGGTATCTGATATATGTATGATATATATATTAGTACCTGATATGTATATGATATGTGTATTATTTGTGTATGATTTTTTACATTTTGAGTACCCAATATGTGTAAGATATGTGTAGGATAAATCATCTTTTTACCAGTGTTGGATTAGATTGCATCTTGGTGTATTAGTATGTACGGTAACAGTCGCATATTTCAATAAAGAGCCTCAATATCCTTTCCACGTTTCCTAAGAGGTCATTGGTAGGTTTGGAATCCTGTCTTTGAGGTCACTGCTTGCATAATTTGGGGGTGGTGTCTTGTCTTAGTGGTCACTGGTAAGAAATATACCACTAAGGGTGTGGCAAGCTTTAATGCGTGAGGTTTGTCATGCTAGATAGGTACCATAGATGGTAAAGTTAGGTTGCAATGTCTTTATAATAGTTTACCTTCTGTTAGGTTTAGACCAACCTTGTACATTCCTGAACTGATGGTATTGGGATAAGGTAAAGGGTTCAATTTCCTACCGTACTCAGTTCCTGGTTGGTGATTCTTGGTGGTATGGTAACCACTATAAAAAGGTGATCCTGGAGATTCCTTGAGGTTTTCTGTTTTGGTAGTCATGGTCTGTGTAGGAGAACCTTCACAGCTTAGGGATTGGAATCGATTCCCATTATTAGAATCGATTCTAAAATCGATTAATTACGATTAATCATTTCACAAATACCGATTTTTTTTTATACTATTTATAATAGGTGTGTTTAAACACATATTACGTGATTACAAAAAATTACAGTAATCGACGAATAAATTTCCTTTTTTGGAAATTTGTACAACCTTGTGTGATATCAACTTGAATTTTATTGGGAGATAAAATTTCCTTTTTAGGAAGTTTGTGTTCCATCACGTGATTAGCGGGCAGAATTATGAATTTGGCCAAAATTAACTATTATGAACAAATAATAATTTACGGTCAAATTAACAAAACTGCGCCACAATAAGTAGATTCAATTTTTATTCGAGATTCGATTTAAAATCGATTCTTATCAATTTTCGATAGTTTCGATTTTAATCGAATCTTTTCTGATCCCTATCACAGCTACTACTAGGAGTTCATAACTGTACCATCGGTAGTAGGTAATCGCAGGCTGTAGTGGCTTTTGAGTGAAACCTAGTACCTAAGATGGTGGTATAAAAGAGTTCTAGATAGTTACCTGATATCATGAAAGCCACTACTGACTGTACCATTAGTTGGGAAACTCTAACAAAAATATACTGGCTAGAGGCTACCTTACAGTGAGTGAATGGTTAGTAGGGAAGGCTACATGGGGTTGGGTCTTGACCCAAGATAGTTTCAGAACGTGCTATACGACTCCTGCCGATCTCAGTATTCTATATGGTGCTGATCACTCATGGGTGTAGTAACATGTGCGATAAGGTCCTTCTTAGGATGACCATTCATTCCAGAGTATAATAATATATCCTCAAATATAAGTTGTATCAGTATTGTTCAGGGTCCTAACAAACTGGTCTCTATGTTTTAAGTTTTACTTGAGAAATACCTTTAGGTTACACTTAATATATTGATTTTATTGATTTTGTAACTTTTAAAAACCAAAATGCATACATCATGTGTATTTAAAAGCCTTTAAAATTCATGTAAGCAAGGTTAAAATGAACATTTTTTTTTTTGCAAAAAATTCAATCAATTTGAGTTATTGGTAGATAACCATATTGTTTTTTCAACATCATCTAACTATTATAACTAGTTGGATCTTTGTATATTAAAGAAGAAATATGGTACAGTATGCAGTTATTGTAATTCAATTTTTTCATTATTTTTATTTTATTTAGTATATTTTATATAATTATTTATATTTTATATTTAGATTTTTATTACAAATAATAGTAGGATTTTTCTTAAATTATATAAAGTTATAAATAGTATTTAGATTAATTATTTGAAGTATTATATTAACCTAAATTAAATAATCAAAATCAAATTTCAAATTCAGTTTAAATTTAAATACAAATTAAAAAAATTTGAATTAAATCTAAATTAAATTCCTAATCAAAATTCAAATATTAAACTTAGTATCTAAATATTTAATTTATACAATTTTAATATAATTGGAAAGAGAAATTTAAAGACTTTTTTTAAATAAACTTAAAATTGTATAAGACCAATTATTAAAAGTAGAATTATTACTCTTTAAAGTTTTAATTAAAATTAGACTATAATATCAGCTAAAATTAATTAAAATTACATTATAAATTTACTGTACTATATTTAATATTAATAAAAAAAAAAAAAGAACAAATTTAGCTAAATTTGAAAATTTGAAAATCAGTTTTTTTAAAAAAGTTTATTAAATCTAATTACTAGAATTTAAAATAATTGCAAAAAACTAAAAGAGTAAAAAGTATTAATTTTATTATAGATTAATTATTATCCAATATTTTATAAAAAAGGCTATGAAAGTAGACTAATAAAAGTAGACTAAAAACATTACAGTGAAATTACAAGTTATATATTATATTTATATTTTAAATTAAAATGTTGTTAATTTTAATTTAAAATAAGATTATTAGTAAATAATTAATATTAATTCTAATAATTACATAATTAGAAATTATGTAATTCTACTTATTCTACTTACTGATTCTTAATTAAATATAATTTTCTTATATATATTGCAATATATACCGTATAGTTTCCCTAATCCATTGGTGAGAAAATTTGCTACCATCTCATGTTTTGATTTCTCTTTATAAATTAATATAGTAGTATTATATTAGGTTTGTTATTATTGCTTTAAAATACCCGAATTTCAGAACGTAATGTAGAATCATTACTCAGTTGAATTAGCCAACTGAAAAAAAAAATTTGAGATGTGGCTTGTTAATAAAATTTTTTTCGAGTTATTTATAGAAATTAATTTTCAGTAAATCGTCATTTCTTCAAATAGTACCGGCCTACCGGGGTATTACTAATCAAAATTCGATTTTGGATAGTACCCCAGAACCCAGATACGTACCCGGTACTAATCATATACTTTATTTAATTTATTTAATTGTAATAAAATCATAGCTACTTTAATTCTATTATCACATGATTAGTACCCCTCTTCCAATGTACCCGTCCCCTCCTATAGTCCCACCCGAGTACTATTCATTCTAAGCGGACTTTCTTGAATAGTACCGGGGTACTATATGCAGTATACAGCTATATTTTTATTTTTATTTAAAAAATATAAAGTAAAATATAATATATAATATTAAAAAATATATAAATATTTATTTAATATATACAATACAGTATTTACATCTGCAGGTAAGTAAGTAAATCCAAAATCAATTGTTTTTTATGAAATCCAATTAATGCAAAATAAAATATATAGCATATTAATAAATAATCTATGAAAATTTGCGCATTTTCATTATAAAAAATTTTATTCATTAACTCCGTGGTTACAAGAGGTGATGAATAGGAGAATAAAAAAGATCGCCAGTCACGTACTTATCTATCATAACGTCACGGGATATATATCATTATACACACATCTCTCTATCGTGAGGTCCTGGCGTTGGAATGAATATCGATTTTCCATCTTCAGAATCCTCTTTGTCTTTTTTTTTGTACATAAGATAGTTTTTGGGATGGATCCCGATAACCATCCTTTAAGAAATAAAATAAATAATTCTATAAATTTATATTCTGGTTGAGGTTATTTGATTATCTGAGCTTAATGTCTTGCTTTTCGATCCTTCCATTTGTATAAAAGTTCTGTGACTTCTGTTCCGATTATATTCCAAGCATTGTTACAATGGCTGTTTATATCAATAAGCTTGATATCTAGAGTATTTACATCAAAAATAATGTATGCTTTTCTTCATGACTGTTTTTTTTTGATATAAACATAAATGTAAATCATGTATCAAAAAATACGGTACTCATCAATTCATTTACGCCCAGTAAAAAAAATCATTAAATTGTTAAACATCAAGATATTTATTTATGATCATCAAATTAAATGATAGATGAAATTTTGCGATCAATTGTGATGGTTGATTAAGTTTTAAATCACACCATTGAAGGTAACGACCATTAATATTAAATTAATAAAAAAACAGAGTTTTCGTAGTATTATGGTGTATGTAACAGACTAACAGTACATGATAACAGTAATTACATGTCGTTGAACTTTAATTCGCGCTATTATTATTAATTTTTTCGATCTCATATAATTAGATTTTTAGGTAAATAATAATGAATTAAGCTAAAATAAATGAAATTAAATATCTGAAATTCTTTCATGTTAAAACTTCATCAACCTTTTCACGATGAATAGCAAATGAAGGTGTTATCCATGAACCACAAGAACATTGCATTCCTATATTAAGATGATTGAGTATTTCCGAAATTTTTTTTAAAACAATTAGCAGAATAAATATTGGCTTGGATTGATGATTTAATGGATTAAAGGTTGACCAAATAATACTTAAAAGATCATAAAACAATTTAAAAAGGACTTACCAGCCCAACTGAAATTGCCTAATTTAACTTGACACGTTGGACATTTTATTTTTCCTTCCAATTCACCTTCTTGTACTCTGTCAAATATCCAATCCATTGGTTCAATGAAATATGAAGAGCATACAATTTGTGAAAATGATGAGTCACGTTTTTTATATGCAAATGCTGTTTGCCCTTTTCCTTGATCATGATTAACGAAATCTTTAGTTGATACTATCGTTTGTCTACAATTTTTATTAATAAATATAAATAAAGAATAAAGTAAACTTTAGACTAAATTAGACTAAATGAATATATATAACAACCTGCATTTTTTACATTTTAATGCTGATAAAGTCAGCTTTCGTGGTTCAGAAATTTTTGGTTCATTTATGGCGTCTATAGTTTCAATTTGTGCTTGACTAAGTGGTATAAAGTCTTAAAACAAAAACAATTCAATTAAAAGTTTATTTTTCAAATACTCATTATAAAATAAAATTACTTGCCAAAAAAAAATACCTTCAGCGTCTGTCATAGCTAATGATAAAAAGAAGGGATTTGTTTTTTTTTAAATTTTGGTGCATCTGTGAAATTTATTTATCATGTGATTAATAACCAATCAAATGAAAACATTTTATTTATACATCAAAATAAATTTTTAATAAAACTCTCTATTCTCTAAAACTCCGACGTTTACTTTGTTTACTGTTTACTTGTTAGTCACAATGACTTTTTTTTTTTTTATGGAAAATCAATGCGATTATTGTATTGTCCGCAATTCTTCTTTTTACAGGAATAAAAATTGGGGCTATTTGCAGAATTAATAGACTTAATAAAACGACAATAACTGATTACTTTTCTAGATTGGGTAAAATTTGGCGGGGGCAGCGGGGGTAAATTAGACAGAATATATATTAGAATAACATACCTGTTAGATAACTTGATTATGCAGGTTCAAATTGTTACACATTAAAAATTTTTTCTTTATTAAAAAGTACAAGTAACCTGAAACTTTTCGTTTATTTCTTTTCCTGTTTATTTTAAAAATATTAAAAATATTTATAAATACACGCTCTTTTTTTCTCTTTCTTCCATCAAATATATCTTTCATTAAATATCTACTTTTTTGATCAGTTAAAATTTTTTGATACAAAATATGTCATTCCTCGCAGATTTTGAACCAGCTCTTATTCACTCACCTTTTGATCGTCAACAACAACACACTTATAAACCTTCCGAGAAGGTTATTTCTAATCCTTCAACTATCTCTTCGATTTCATCTATAACGACACAAGAAATCAAAAAAGCAAACGGTATATCTTTAATAACAAAAACAATGGCAACAAGTTTTTCTTCAAGGTCTGCTCTATCTGCAGAGCAAATTCTATACGATCGAAAATATTGGACGGACAAATTGGTTACATTTATCCTTATGATGCCATAATAAAACGGTGGACTTTATATCGAACAATTATTTTTATTTATTTCATTTATTAATTCTTTTTTTTAAAAAAAAAAAAAAAATATAAAATTCTTTAATCAAAAAAAAATTTAGACATAATTCTCCCCTCACAAAATCATAAAATTTTTTCAATATTAATAATATATATTAATAATATATCTTTTCATAGTTTTTGTGGTGGAAAATGAGAAATCATAAATCATTTTAGAATTATTTAGAATATTTTCAAATTTCAAATTCAAATTGTATCGGATTAACCTCTCCGTCAAAAAAAAATTTAACCAAATAAAGTCTTATTTGTCACATGATTTTCATTATTTGTATTATTTGAATGGCGCAATTGTTATTGTATTGAGATTTGAGAACCGTTTTTTTTTTTGTAGCACAAATTTGACGATTTACTCGATTTACTTCGCTAAACCAGAATATAAACCAAGTTTAGATATGGATCTATTATCCGTCGAATACGGTTCTAGTAGTGAAGATGAATTCACAAAGAACTCAACCAAACGAACCAATCATGAAAATGCAGATTCTCAAATTGTAAAACGTTCAAAGATAGATTTGGCCCCTGACGTCAGTCTAGAGGTTGGTGATTGTTGGGTTCTATCTAATAAGTAACCTGTTGTAAACAGATGCGTTTCCCATACATGGGTTACTCGAAATGTTCTCATTGTTTCTTCCTCGCTTAACCATTTATTCCCTTTACCAGTTTTTTATCTAAAGAAAAAAATAAATTTATAAGGGCACATCAATTGACGTGAATATGGTTGATTTTCACCATATAGGATCCAAAACTTTCGAATTCAATTTTAACAAGACCTACCGACACTCAAATTTCCGTGAATATACCGTACGATGATATGATGAAACCCGTACTCGGACCAGCTAATCCATATAGTACAAAAGTAATGAATAAGAATGTTTTAACTGGTCATGTTGAAGAACAAGCTTTTAGTGAAGCAGCATTCAAAACACAACAACGTACTTTTACTTCTTTTGGGTACGCGCTAGATCCTTCACTTATAACACAATCAGGAACAGGGTATGTTGGCAACATAGAGAAAGCTGTAGCAATGAATGGTGCTACTATTTATGATCCGACACCTAAACCAGATGATATGCCGCAGAGATTACCTAAAGGTGATTCTGCTGTATTAGAAGGTGAAGATAAGTACATGGGTCCTTGGGCTGGTTATGAAGGCGAAAATATCGGAAATCCTGTTGGACCGCCAGAGGTAATGTGTAATTATATTATAATCGGATAAATCGGATGTACATAGCATTTATTTATGAACGATATTTATTTAGGGCACGATAATTACAAGGACCGAATCTGAGACCAAATCTAAAAAGGAAATTGAGACTGGTCAAGAAAGAACAATATTTCATGGTACATCTAGTTCAAAGTGTTGCATGTTGTTTTGATAAGCTATTTACACATACGTAATTTTTTTTCTAGGAAAATCGGAATACGATTACCAAGGAAGAACTTATATGCATGTACCGATGGATTTGGACGTTAATTTACTGGGAGAGCCTGGAACGCAAGAATGTTTTATTCCAAAACGATGTATTCATACATGGTATTTGTCAGTTGGCTTGTACATATGTAACATTATATCTTTGTTAACATCTTTATTTAACTATCTATAGGTCTGGCCACAATAAAGGTGTCAGTGCAATTCGATTTTTCCCCAAATCGGCACATTTAATTCTGTCTTCAAGTATGGATGCGAAAGTAAAGGTAAGAAATTATATTATTAGTAGATTCAAAATAAAAAAAAAGATTAATTTTTATGATTGAATATAGATTTGGGATGTGTATAATGATCGTAGATGCTTAAGAACTTATATAGGACATAACAAAGCAGTTCGAGATATTACATTCACGAATGATGGAAGGCGTTTCTTGACTGCTAGTTATGACAAGTATATCAAATTGTGGGACACCGAGACTGGTATGATTAAATTCAAAATATTTTACATTAGAAGTGTTTATGTAAAATGGTTTTTAATTATTGTTTTATTATAGGCCAGTGTATTAAGTCATTTACCACAGGAAAAATACCCTATGTTGTTAAATTCAATCCTGATGAAGATAAACAACACGTATTTTTAGCGGGTTGCTCGGATAAAAAGATTGTGCAAGTATGTTTTTTAAAAATTTTTTTATTTTATATTTGATCTTAAAATTTTTATTTATTTACATAATTATATTGATATTCACCGTTTTAGTTTGATATTAATACTGGTGAGGTAACACAAGAATACGATCAACATTTAGGTGCTGTGAATACTATCACTTTTGTCGATGAAAACAGACGTTTTGTTACAACCTCAGATGACAAGACGTTGAGAGCATGGGAGTTTGACATCCCTGTGGTGATTAAATATATTGCAGAACCTCATATGCATAGTATGCCTGCTGTGACTTTGCACCCTAACAGTAATTAAGTTTCTCATACTATTTGGAATTTTTAAAAAGCTTCAGAGTTCATTTAATTAATTTTTTTTAATAATTTACAGAAAAATGGTTAGCTTGTCAATCGTTGGATAACCAAATTGTAATATATGGTGCCAAGGATAGGTTCCGTATACATCGCAAGAAACGATTTACTGGCCATCTAATAGCTGGTTATGCTTGTCAAGTCAATTTTTCACCTGATGGAAGATTTATTATGTCGGGTGATTCAGAAGGAAGTATGTGGTTTTGGGTAAGTGTGTTTATATTATTACGTCATTACTTTTAAGCCTTGTTTTTTCTAAAGAAAAAAATTTACTAATACGTGATGTTTCTTATTATATTATAGGATTGGAAGTCATGTAAAATGCTCAAGTAAGTGTATAATGTTAGGTATTGTTTTTAGAAAATATGTACAAATAATTTAACATTTTATTTATAACGAATAGAAAATTCAAGGCGCATGATAATGTTGTGATTGGATGTGAATGGCATCCTCACGAAACTTCAAAGGTAGCTACTTGTAGTTGGGATGGATTGATTAAGCTCTGGGTAAGTAATTATTACTTATTTTGCTTATTAAAATATATTTATAATTAATTCCGTTACTTTTTTATATTTAGGATTAAGAAAATATATGTGATTTATATACTTTATCATGTATATAATTGTAATGGCTGATGTTACAGTTACAATCGGATTATTTTTCTAATGTCGTCAATAAAGAAAGATATTAGGATGTTTGTTTCACTCTTTGAGGCTGTCTTCAAAATGTTATTCCAGTAAGAACAACTTGAGCTCTTATATATCAGATTATCATCTTAAAACGGACAAATTCATTCACATAATTATATGAATGATAAAGATAACCTAAACCATAATGAAATTGTATGATAACATTAATATCAACAACCATTATTCTGTAAATCATTTACTGTAATAGTTATAATATAATATAAACAATTATTTTTTCTTTCATTAATAAAATAAAATTTCACTAGATCAAGATTTGCTATAAGAAAAATCTTTTGATTACTTATTTTAAAATAATTTACTTCTCTTTAAAGAATTAACTTTATTTTCTAGTTCGATTAAAACTCGTACACGAAACTTTGCAAATTATAGTTATAACTTTCTGAGATTATGTAGGTAGAGATAGTTCACAATTTTCACAATTTTCGCATTGGTTTTAAAATAAGGAGTAATGACAATGATAACCTTAATATTTGTCTCTTAAATAATCAAATTTTAGAATTAATAATAGTCCATTTCCCTTTTGAACTTTCAATATCTATATTCTTAACTAGTCCATCATTCTCTAATTTAATAAGATGAAGTATTATACCATGTTCTGCTGCGGACCATAAATGTTTAGGATATTTAACATAGATAATTTCTACAATCTGTCCTGGTGTTAACGGAGTTTCCGACTTTTTTAAAACTTCAATTATTTCTTCTTCTCGTTTCAAACGATGAGTAATATACTCCTCTAATTTTTCTGTGCCATTTTCAACCACTGGGCCATGACCAGGATATAAACGATCAGGAGAAAATTGTTTCAATTTCTGTAATGAATTTATGTATTCGCCAAGATTTTCAAATTTAGCTGTACCTTGCCCTAGAACAGTGTCACCAGTGAAAATTGCGTTCTCTTCCTCCAAATAGAAAGCTACATGATCTTCTGAATGACCAGGAGTAAGAATAGAACGGATAGTTGCACCATCGGTTTTGAAAATTTGATTATTTTCTACTTGCTGGAATGTATGATGAGATTTATCATGTTCAGGATCGAGTTTCTTGTGCACTATGGGTGAAGGTAAATTATTTTCACTTGCATATTGTAGAATATTATCGATACCTCCAACATGATCAAAATGCCAGTGCGAAATCAATATATCGGAGATAATAACATTTTCTCCAAGTTTTTTAAGTGAATCGATTAATAAATGAATATATTCGGGTTTTCCCTCTCCAGTATCCAGTAAAATTTTACTTGAGCCAGTTCCAATAAGATATGTATTTGTTCCTGTTCAAAAATTCAAATTATTACTTGAAAAAATTGTTAACCGAATTCGACCGAAGAAATTTAGGTTTAAATTAAGCAAACCTTGCAAAGTTAAGTGACCAGGATTTAAACCGAGAATACGGACGACTCTCTCACTTAATCTTGTAAAATGCGGTATTTCTTGTAACACGCTTGTCATTTTATTTGGAGAGAGAGACACAGAAACTAAAACCCGGGATAATGCGAGATTCGGCTGCATATTTTTTAGTTAGAACTCAGCCTCCGTACCGTGCCACAAATTTATTTTATTTCCATATTTTGCATCACATTAATTTAATTATAGAAAAACGTACATATAAATATGAAAAGTGAGAATAAAAAAAAATTGAATAAGCAATTAAACTTTCGTGACTTTTAAATTTAATCAAAATGTTACAAGGTTTGAAAGCTAGAACAGGACGTGAAAATCAAGTTTACGATAAAGGCTACACACGCAAGGTCAGCAATAATTTAAACTTAAATCTAGTATTTAACTTACCCTCTATATAGTTGTAGATTTTTATATTTGAATTTATTTTTTTTTTATTTTTTATTTTATTTTTTTTTGTTTTTAAAATATAACTTTTTTCGTGTTTCTCTTATTTATTTTTGATTTTTTTTTGCCACAGGTAGCCGGTTGTGTACCAATTAATAAGAAAACCGGAAAAATCCTTCTGATAACGCGAAGAAAACAAGAAGGATGGGTGCTGGTAATTATGCTTCATTTTGTTTAGCAATTTCGATTGATATTAACATTATTATATTTAATCAATTCACATATTAAAGCCTAAAGGCGGCTGGGAAAATGATGAATCAGAGGAAGAAGCAGCATTACGAGAAACATATGAAGAAGGTTTGAATTTTAAAATTTCATTTTTTTTTTAATTCAATGTTAACAAAATTCAAACTTGGACAGCTGGTGCAATAGGGCGAATAGTGTTTTCGATTGGTATCTGGAAGCATCCTGTCACCAATAAAGGGTTACCAAAGGCCGAATTTAGATTCTTTGAGATGGAAGTGGAAAAATTGGAAGAAAGATGGCCAGAAATGAATGAGCGAGATAGGCAATGGGTATGTTATTTTTCAACTTCTTTTCTTGATGTTTGAGTATAATTATTAATTTATGAAATTTTTAGTTTTCTTATGACGATGCATTGAAAGCATTGACAAAACCTTTTATGCGCGAAGTTGTTGAACAATGCTCATTAGCTCCATTTGATAATAATGATAATATCATTACTTCATTTGATAATATTAATATTAATCATAGAACGGAAAAGGTAAAAACATTCCTTTACGCGTGAAAATTTAATGATTTCTTTTAGGTTTCTTTTACAATTATTCTTTTATCCTTTAAAAATTCAATAATAAGTCAGGTCTATTCGTAGCATCCGAAGACCGTAAAGATTTTTGGACATGGATATTTTCGATTTTAGTAATTATTTTATTGATTATTTGGTATTTATCAACTAATTATTATAATGACATTGATTTCTTTTCTGAAAAATTTGCATCATAATTTCCGGTGAAATTGACACTTATCAAAGTTTTAAATAATTATTATTGGGATAATATAATACATATATTAAGAAAACATCCGGACATAAAATGTTGGCTGAAAATTAGAATGCTTTTTTTTAGAAAAAAAGGGCTATTCTTATCCTTAAACATTCTTTCCTATATTGTTTATATTTTATCGTTTCTTTTTGTACAATAATAATTTAGAAACTCATAATATCTATTGTAATAATATTAATTAAATGCGGACAAGAAATTTTTGGTGCAATAAATTTTGAAATTAGTTAAATTAATGTCTATCTCGTTAAGAATGTTAAGAATGTTAAGAATAAAAAAAATTAGTGCTAAATAAACACTGTAGATCTTTCGCGACCGCGTGTCCTTTTTTGTTTTGATCGGAGCTCACTCCTGAAAAAATGAGTACATATATGTACATATTTATCGGAGTTTTCACGAATTTTCCAAATATAGAATATATCAAAGATACTAAAAAAAAATTAATTTTGTAAATATTTATTTTATTTTATTATATAAATTTCTATATATGCTTTCTTTAATTATTAGATTTGAATGTAAATGCGGCGCAATATTGGCTAGAGATTTCATAAAAAGAGTCGGCACTCGGCACTTCCCGATAATTATGTTTCACAATGTATCAAAAAGCCTCAGCGCCTCAATCAAGCCACATGCATGTTGAAGATCTCTGTGTCTGATTGATGTCATAATAATGATGGATTGCCCCTCAGTTTTGCATAAATTATTGGACATTTTTATAACCGCAAGTCCGCAATACTATACCATAAAGTAACCTAAATCCGCTAAACATGATATTCGATTATACAGACTGCCAAATTCGGCATTATTGGAAAAAACGGACCGAGAAGATATATGAATCAAAATGCCAACCATAATAATCTCCTAATATGATGTCGCGTACTCGCGTTTTGGGAGAATGATTACCGTAAAATTTTCATTTTACAGCCATGAAATCTTATATATCTCCTGCACCTAACGGTGTCCCTACATATCCTTTTATTATTATTTTGCATATATATATTTATATAATAATAAATAACAGCAATAACAGCAGAGGCCTAAGATGATCATGAACCAAGTGGCAGTCGGCAAATAGTTACATATCCTCTAATTTCAGGCCAAAGCGGCCTTCTCGTTAAATGCTCTTTCTATTTTTGATAAAAAAGCTTCTAAAAATCACGAGTTTATATTTTATAGCCTATTTCTATAGTTAGTTAATAACGGCTTTCTCTAATAGAGAATATTCTAACTACCCCTGATTCATTCTCTAGAATTTATTCTCATCTCTAAGTAAGTGATTCGTTTGTTCTTATTGTATCAAAGGATTTAAATACTATATATTTAATCATTGCATGAATTTTATATAATCAATGTGGATACGTTAAATTTCTCCGTGAATTGTCGCTTTTCTTATGAATTTGCCTACTTTTATTTCTGTTATGCATATAAGAAAAAAGTAATCAAACAATTAGCGAACTCGAATGACTAAAATATAATAATAATGATAATAAAAAATGTTCAACAAGTAATGTGTCATGAGAATTATATTATCGAGAAATGATGTTTCATTTGTTTTTTCTAAAGGGTTTGCAATGCATCAAATTATCTTTCGTGCACTTTTTATTTGGTATAAAATATGGTAGTACGTTTTACTTAAGAAAATGGTTATAACCTAAGAATGTCAGATGGCCACGTTTAAGATTTAGGTGTAAGCATATCAAACTCCGACATAGTACAATCACATGGCTTCTATATATTTCAGATTAGGCTTAGTGATAAACACTATTGTCCAGCAGTAAAAGGAAACTTTTCTTTTAAGGAATAAATAAATAATCATGTGACATTATCATAATTATTCGATCATCAAATATTGGTCGGTGCCACATTAGTACTCAATAAATAAGGCGTAATTGTGTTTTTTGTTTGAAATTCTTTACATTATTTTATCGAGAGAATTGAAACATGTCAACTGTTAAAGGAGTAGCTCCACCAATCGAAAAATATGATGGTTCTTCATTGCGTGTTCTAATCGTACATGCACGTTGGAATATTACAGTAGTGGACGCATTAATAAAAGGAGCAATTGACACCATGACCAATGAATATTCGGTTAAATCCGAGAATATTACCATTCAATCTGTCTCAGGATCATATGAGTTACCATTTGCAACTCAACGTCTTATTGCAGCATCAAGACTTCAGGCTACTCCAAATGCAGCAGAATTATTTTCATCAACGCCAGCAGGAGAACAAACTGGACCTCCGCCTGTTAACACTCAAACTTTTGATGTGGCTATTTGTATTGGAGTATTAATCAAAGGTTCTACGATGCATTTTGAATATATTGCCGACGCTGTTAGTAATGGTATAATGAGAGTTGGATTGGATTCTGGCATTCCTTGTGTTTTTGGTATTTTAACTTGTTTAAATGATGATCAAGCATTGGAAAGAGCTGGTTTGGGTTCAAGTGATAAGAAACATAATCATGGAATTGATTGGGGACATTGTGCTGTTGAATTAGCTGTGAAGAATCGCGGTTGGATGGCTGGTAAAATTTGACATTTAATAATTATTTAATATATATTAAGTAAATTAGTTTTTTTTAATTATTTATTGATTAAAAAAGAAAAGAAATATTTTTAATTTCTTTTATTTAAATGTTTCTAATTAATAATAAGAGATGACACGTGTGCATTTTTTATCGTTACATGCATTGTGCATAAAATTTAAAGCAGATCATGTGATGTCCATATATAAAAATAAGCGGCGCAGTAATTTTTATTATAAAATTTTTTGTTTCGCGTACCCAAAGGACCAGTTCATGTAGATATCCTCAATCAATCTTTGATTTTTCTTTTCTTTCTATTTGTTTCTCTTTCGTCATCTCCGTTCCAATCGTTAAGATTGTTTAATAAATTTTGTAGTATACGTTTTTCTCCCAATCTCATGACGATAATATATTTTATTCTCAACGATATATTATTTGATTTCGAAATTTCATCATCATCCTATAAAAAATTATTCTTTAGTAATACTACAATAGACAAAATAGATAATAAAATATATATTATCCTTTCACCTTGATTGATGTCTTATACATTGCTAATCGTTTCTCAAATAGCTGAATTAATGATTGTTTAATATCAAGGTTCATTTTAGGTTCAGGGAATTTTTCTGATTTTTGAAGCTTCTTAAATTGGGCTTTATCCATTCTCATTACTTTGGCTTTTTGATTGTTAAAAAAAAAAATTTAACGATTTTTTTTATCACAACGAGCTGTATAATTTCTTCAGTATGTACATATATACCTGTTATAATTAGTTCAGGTGGTATTTCACACGTAGTATCCAAGACGAAAATACTGAATAAGATTGTGTATAGTTATGTAAAATAAAAATTTTGTGTATAAAAGTCAAACATAAAATGACAAAGAACCTACTCATCTAAAATATCTTCTTCCAATAACATTTCGATCTTATATTACGTAAGTAATGACAATAACAACAAATTCGTGGCGGTTACATAAAGGACTAAGTACCTTTTTATTCTTTGTATCTTCATCGATTGATAATGTATCAACTACAAATTGACCATTTAATTCCACTATATCATACATATTATTCTCATCAACAAATCCATACTTGCGCAGTAAGTCTATTTAAGTAAAAAAGTGGGTATGAAAATTATTGTGAGAATAAGAAATCAAAATGTATGATTTACCTGCAGAACACAACTCTCCATAAGTATTATACTTGAGGAAAAAATAGTATCAGAAAAACGTATTTTTAATATATAATACAACTTTATATAATTACAATTTGTTCGCCCTTCTTAATTTTCTTAATTGCGGTCATTTCTAATAATCCTTTATCACGAAATAATCGAGCCTAACGATAAAAATATATATATATAAATTGAAAGGAGATGAGAAGTATTTATATAACGGACATACGTTATTAAACCCAGTTTTATGGTTCAACATATCAGCCATTGGCATCATTGTAATTTCTTCTTTCTCATCCTCTTCATCTTCGTTCTCTTCATCCTCTTCGTCCTCTTCATTTTTATCTTGATTTTCTTCGATGTTCTTATTCCTTATTTTATCTTGAAATGCATTTGCCATTACAAGAGATCCCATACAATGAAATAATTCCAGATTATGTATATTTGAATCAAAAATTGAAGAATTTGACTAAAATAATACGAAAGAAAATTAGTATGATTATACTGTGTTATATTATAAAAAATATATATATAACCATAATATACGATCAAATCAACAATTTCTTTATTTCCTTCATAAAATTTAAAAAAAGAAATGATTCATTAATAATTGATACTTTTATTACCTGGATTATTGGTAGAAAATGGTCATTGAATTGTTTTTCCGCATCAGCTTTTCCAATTTTATCTATCATGATAAAATCAAGTTTATATACGTTATATTAAATTGCTTAAGAAACAATTAAATACATCTTTCTTACCGATAACACCTGTTCCTTCTAATTCAGAAAGATCGTCTTCATTCCAAAACATTGGTGTATCAAATTCTCGAGGTAAAATATCAAAATAAGGCTTCCATAATGAATTTTCTTTTTGGCTTTCATACATCATGCACAATATGAGTGGAAACCACGAATTAATTTTACTAAGCATTTCAAATTCGCTGCTTGATATTAAATCTTTTAGTGATGATGTTTTTTCTGAAAGAACTATAGAATGCGGAATATTAAATAACACTTCAAACGGCTATACATATTTTGAAATTGAATATTAATGTTTAAATATAATGTTACGGAATGTATTCAAAAGCGAAAGTAATGAAAACCTCTATATCGTCAACTGAGACAACTCCCCGACCTGCATTTTCCGAAGAATAATCTTTGAATGAAATTTTTGGTGATATCGTTCCTCCATTGCTACAAAACCAATGGATAAATTGTTTATTAATTTCTTCGAAATTTAATGTATTGTCGTTATGGCTCATTGTGAATTTATTCTTTAAAAACATAGATCACAATTTTTTATCAGAAAATTTCTTTTCTAGATCGTTAGCTGATTGGTCGATCTCATCAGCGGTACCTACGAAAATTGTAGATTACGTATACCTTGCAGATAAATCATCAATCGTTCGCTTTCAATATTTTATTTATTCTACTACAAAAATGTCTGAAAACTCTATTCCGAAAATTCCTAATTTAGATCTTGCTAATTACAGGTTTATCTTGAACAACCCAAAAACTCCAGAGTTTTATGATGAAGCAAGAACTAATTTATTTAAGTGTATTGAAGAAAATAGTAAGTACTCCTGACGAAGTACTAATAATTTATTTTTCAAACAACCCGATAAGAAAATTTATCGCGTTTTCAATAATAATATACTTCATTTTCCTTAATTCTTTCAGTTCTCGTTCAATTGATAAGTTCTTTTATCCTCAAACTATAGACATGGCACCTTTTTACCAATTAATGACTGAAGAACTCAAGATTCCATTTGATAAATCTCTGCATGCAAAATACCAAGAGAATAATAATGAAGAACTAAAGAAATTGGATGAAAAACTTGAAGATGCCGAAAAAAATTTAGGCGAAACGGAAATCAGCGATGCTTTATTAGCCAAAGCTGAATACTTCGCGAAAATTGGTGACAAGGTACGTTTTAATTTTTTTTTTTGATTCCAATTATTATATAATGATGTATTTTATTGACTTTATTTTAGGAAAAAGCTATTGCAGCGTATCGTATTGCCTTAGATAAGACACCAGGATTAGGATCGCGAATAGATATAATTTTTTGTTTTGTAAGGATCGGATTCTTTTTTAATGATAATGATTTGATCAGTCGTAATATTGAAAGAGCAAAGAGGTATTTGTTTTGATAATTAGTCTTATTTCAAATACTTTAACGCTAATTCAACTTTTACTTTCAAGTTTAATTGAAGAAGGTGGTGATTGGGATCGACGTAATCGTCTTAAAGTATATGAAGGCATTTACAGGTTATCTATACGTGATTTTAAAACTGCTGCAAATTTATTTCTTGATACTTTATCAACGTTCATGTCTACTGAATTAATGGAGTATAAAGAATTTGTTAAATATGCCGTTTTAGCTGGAGCAATTTCTTTAAATCGAGTTGATTTGAAGAAGAAGGCAAGTAATTAATTCTTATTATTCTCTGTACTTATTTATGCTTGTAATTTATTCATATTAAATTATTCGCTGAATTTATAGGTAATTGATGCACCAGAGGTATTGGAAGTCTTACACGAAATTCCACACTTAGAAGATTATATTACTTCACTTTATAACTGTGAATACGCAAAATTTTTCCGAGCACTTGGTAATTTTCTCAAATGTAAAAGAGCTTCTGAATTTTTGTTCATTAATTAGTTTATAATTATAATTATTTTATTTAAGCCGATGTTGAATTGGATCATTTGCGCACTTCAAGGTACTTATTCTCACATCTTAGGTATTATGTCCGTGAAATGAGAATTATTGCATACGCGCAACTTCTGGAGTCATATCGTTCACTCACTATGGAAAGTATGGCAAACTCATTTGGTGTTTCGGAGGGATTCATTGACAAGTATGTAATAATAATAAATGAATGTTTATATTTGAAGAGATAATTTGTTAACCAACAGCCTTTTTTATTAGCGATGTGTCGAAATTTATAGCCGCCGGTCGTCTTAACTGTGTAATTGATAAAGTGAATGGAATTGTTGAGACAAATAGACCGGATGCTAAAAACGCACAATATCAACAAAGTATCAAGCAAGGAGATATTTTATTGAATCGTGTTCAAAAGTTATCAAGAGTTATTGATGTATGAGAATAATGAAAGTATTTATTAGTATTAAAAAAAAGATATTTTTTTTTGATTGAATATTTCTTTTAGACACTTATTGATTAATATTAATTATTAACTTGTCTATAAATGCTCATACTTTATAGTATAAAATTAGTCAAAATATATATAACAATAAGAATAAATATAACAATAAGAATCTTATTACCGAAAAAAAAAATCGTTTAATAAATTTAATTTACAATTTGAAGATAAATTATATAATAATTATTTTATTCCACAGCTTCTGCAGTGCTAGCACTTTGATGTGCTTCACGTTTTTCAATAGTAGATGATAATATTTGAGAACGGAATGATAAACCTCTCGTACGTTCAATAACTTGTTGATAAATGGAAGTATGATTTTGATTCATAATAACAGTATTCTATATGAACGAATTTTATTCATATTAGTCAAAAACTATTTTATTCTTATGTTAAACTAAATAACTAAAACAGACCTCTTTAAAATCAATCTTTGCATCGACACGTGTGTCTCGAATCAAATTAACAATCCATTTTTCACCTGCCTCTTGATCCAAATTAAGAGTTTGTGACAACCCGCTAGAAATTAAGAAATCAGGAGATGAACGATTACCTAACAAATAAATTAATGAATAATATTTATCATACCTAATATCAATCTTTAAATGTATCCGACAATAAGTTTCAGAGATTAAATAACGAGCATTTTCTACAAATTCTGGTAAAGTGGCAACTAAGAAAAAGTCATTAGAAAGGACTTTTTCACATTCTTTTAATTTATGCTGAGCTCCCTCAAAATCAAATTTTACATATAAGCTTTCGATGAATTCAGTTATAGGATCCCTGTATTCATAACTTTCCTGTTGAATAATTTTAACTAAATCTTTTAAAATACTTTTTTTACGCTTGTTTGTTACGACGGCTGTTGTAAGATACCGAAGAATCCATGGGCACGCAGTTTGGATAGTATTAATATACGAGGGAGTGAAAAATACATCGATAATATTATCACGTCCTTTTGGATGATTGAAGAAAACAAATATCGACCAATGAATAAACCAAGTGCGTTGTTGCAGTTGATGCAAAGGAGAAGTAAAATTCTATTATTAACAGAAGGTAATTAAAATTTATAGCACTAGAATACTTTGAAGTTAACGTGATAAGAACCTTTTGATCAATGGTTTCCTTTAGCTTTTGTACTTCTTCTAAAGCACCGTCCCAATTAGAATCCAAAATATCGGATGCTAGCTTTCCCCATAATGCTGAAACGTTTAATTCATGATCTGTCGACTGTACAATAATAAATTAAGTTTAATCTCGAACTCTTTCCTAAACAATACTATAAAATAAAAGTTACTAACCAATACACGGAAATGGTACAACATATCGGAAGCACCTCCATAGTTACCACAGTTATATTGGAATTGGCCAAATTGATAAAGAGTGTTAAGCATTTTATCTGTAAGCTATCAAATAATAAAAATGAAAAGAAAGCAACACAATTTATTAAACTAATTTTACTGTATTGACACTTACTCCGTACTTTTCTTTTAGAAAATTAAGATTCTGAAGTTTATCTTGTCGAAGAGCGGAAATAACTTCCGGATTCTCTATAATGTCTAAAACCTTTTGAGCCTCTGATTGAAGATTTTCAAGTGTCTGAAGAACTTCATCTCTTTTGGTCGAAAATTCTAACATATTGTAAATTCGATTATATTTCGATCAGTAAAATTACGCATTTAAATAAATTTATCGTATAATGAATAATATAAACAAATACCATTTGGAACTTCTTCAGTATCATGTATTGTTTTATACAACATTGAAATAAAATCAACCATATTAGTTTTGGCCAATAATTCATATTTAGCTTTCAGTAAATCGATCTCCGGATAGATCTAAAGCAATAGAAATATTACTTTGCAAATACAATTTTTATTAAAAATTTTTGAACAATGAGTCCAACCTTGTGCATAGAAAGAAATTCCAACAACGGAAAGACAAGATGTCTGTCCAAATACGGGATCAATTTAGGGGTCAAGTCATAAGTTGCTGCCATTTTGTTGACTTTCGAAGAAAGATTTGAAAATTTTTTATCGCAGTGAAAATTTTTAGATCTAGCCAATTAAATTACAGTTTTCAGTGATACGAAATTTTGTTATAAATTTAAATCTTTTAATCAACAGTTTTCTTCCTCCTTTGATCCATCCGCTAAGACTTCGCTTGTCTTGGTAAGAGTTTCAAGAGTTTTTTATTATTCTGTTTATAAGTCTCATGAAGTGTTAAGTTTTGTTTTTTTTTTCAATGATATTTATGAACATTCATGCAATCGAATGGGTAATAAAATAGCAATTAAAACAGTCTTAAGTGAAAGTTGTTCCATCAAAATTATAATCATCGAATTTAGGAATTATTTTAGTAATTTACAAAGATTTTTAATTAATATAATATTAATAACAACTAACCCACTTTGTGAAAAAGGTATTAATTATTTCTGGTTTTTTTTTTGAAGTGGCAAAAATGGCACACGCACCACGCAATAGATTTCTTGTTCCCGGAATTCCACGCTATTCTCGTAGTAAAGTCTACGCAAAAAAGGCCTTATACAGACGCAAGAAGTCTACTATTCCAAAGCCTGAAACTAAGGCTGAAACCACAAAAACAGTACAAATTAACGGAAATAACAATGGTGGTCAACGTGTTATCCCATTAGAAAAGGCTCCACGATTTTATCCAGCAGAAGATGTTCCTCTTCCAAAAAAATCACGAAAAGTTAACAAGCAAACGAAACTTCGTACCTCTATTACTCCTGGTTCAATTCTTATCTTATTGACTGGTCGATTCCGTGGAAAACGCGTTGTTTTTTTAAAACAGCTCAAAAGCGGTTTATTATTGGTGACCGGCCCATTCAAAGTTAATGGTGTTCCGTTGAAGCGCGTCAATCAAGCTTATGTTATAGCTACCTCAACAAAAGTTGATGTTAGTTCTTGTACGGTAAGGATAATTCATAGATTTAAACCTAAAGGATTGTCTCTATTTTAAAGATTTTTTAATTTACGTTTATTTTCAATTAAGATTGATAAATTTGACGATTTATATTTCAAGAGAGAAAAGAAACCTAAGAAAAACGATGATATAGAAGAACTCTTTAAAGACCAAAGTGTAAGAATAATTTTAACATTCATTATTTGAGGTTTTCTACAAATTATTTATAAATAGAGATTTTCTTTATGTTTAGCAAAAGAAAGTAGTTTCGGAGCATAAAATTGCTGATCAAAAAGAAATTGATAAACAACTCGTGGCCAGCTTGAAAAAAGTCCCAGATCTTTATGATTATTTACGAGCCAGATTTTCACTCAGTAAAGGCCAATTTCCTCACAATTTGAGCTTTTAGTTCTACATATATCGTGTTGAGTGGTAGCCATTTATAACATTTATTTCAAAAAAAAAAAAATTATTTTATTGCTAGAGTTATATGATGTTATAATATTTTAAGTTTATATAATTATTTTTCTTTTATTAATTAAAAGAGATTTCGGAAATAAATTCTAAATATGGAAAACATCATGAATTATTATACAGAATTGAATGTTGTAATTAAATTGGTTTCTCTTCTGGTTAATATAAGATATATACATAAGTTTTGTAAACAATTCTATCATCAAATTAATATAGGATATTAATGTCCAAGATGAATTAACTATATTTGTTTTACCGCCTTCCAATATGATTCCTGTCCAAATTTTGTGTAAATTAGACCAAACATAGTACCAGCCAAGTGTGCCTATTATGAATTAAAATGTATAAGTAATGATAAATATTTGCCGAGCCTCATATTTAAATACTTACAAAATGGTCGAACATTGTCATCCCAGATACAATTCCCCACAAGTCAAATGCCATTATAGCAGGAAGTGCGTAACTGATCTTAATCGGAAAAAATGGCAAAAATATCAAATATACAGAAGAATCAGGATATTGAATTGCGCAAGCAGCAACGCATGCGAAAATAGCCCCAGAAGCTCCTAAAGATGGCAATATATTGTACCGTTTGAAACTTAAGGAAACAATATGACTAATACAAGATGCAACCATTCCGGAGGAAAGATAAAACGCAAGAAATTGCTCTTTCCCAAAAATGCGATAAACTAAATCCCCAAAAGAATACAAAGCCAGCATATTAAAACTATAATGCCAGAAAGCCTCATGGCTAAACATTGAAGTTAGCAATGTAAATGACCGCCCAGAAAGTGGATTATGAACAAAATAATTATTCATAACTGCTCGTAAAGGATGAATTTGCCACATTCCAAAGATAATCGTGTTAATTCCAATCAAAATTGCAGTAGTTTTCGTACTATCGCTCAATGAGTTCCATCGTTTGGTCATATATGTCCAATCTCCGTGCAAGCTTTTATAAAATTTGGAATCTTCAATCTTTTGAATTAATCGATGAAATATTCCTTTGACCCAGGGTTCTCTATAAGTCACTATATCTCCAGCGTTTTGATCATTATCATTATAAAAATGATACATATTTTTACGACGAGCCTTTATTTTTTCCGCAGAAATGTTTGTTGCTATAGCGAATGACGAACCAGAAGCGATTAATGTAAACAAAACGGGTTTCCAAATTGAGGGAGTTACGCGTTTTCGATACGTTTTTTGAAGTAAAGAATTATTATAAGATACAAATTTATTATTATAATGTCGGGTGTCTAGCGCATAATTCCTTATTGAAGAGAATGTTGAACAGTACTGGCCGTTAAAGCCTGAAAGTCTGCGATAACTTAACGGAAAACGCGGAAAACACATAATTTCTCCTACTCGAAACAATATTGTAAAGCTGAATTCGAACAATAAAATCAAATAAAGGATAATCTTTTATCATGATATACAAAAATGACAATATAAACAATATAACCACGTGAAATTGAAATTTTCTTAATTATGAGACTGTGAGCCATTATTTATATAGAGGGCGGCATGCCTTGGAAAAATTTGTTGTTAGTATCGAAAAGGAGCTTGATCCCAAGTTTGGTGTACCTAGACTTGGATTCTTTTAAATTGTCATAAAAAACATTAACCTAAATTACACTCATTAGTAACTAATATGGTTTTAATCTAAGATTATGTATTTTCATCATATAATTCTCGATCAAATTTCCTTTTCATTAGTTCAAAAACCAAGAAACCAACACTAGTAGCAGGGACAGCTCTTATAACCGTAGCACCAAAATCACTATAAAAAAATTTAATCAATCCCTTTCTCTTAATTCTTAATTTACATTGTTCCCACGTGTCTTTATATAAACGTGGTTTCTGTTCATGTTGATATTCAGATTGAGCTTCTTCTATAAGAAATATATTTCTAATTTTGTCTAAAGGATAATCAACGAAATGATATGATATTGCTGCCATTCCACCAGCCGCTAATACAAAAGTTGGTTCTATCAACTGAGATTTCTTTGAAGTTTCGCGATAGTCGCCCATTCCCTCAATGAATGCATTATAACATTGTTGTTTGACAAATTCAAAAACTCCAAAAAACAATCCGCAAGATAAAGAATCCTATATAATCAATAAATTAAAAATTAAGATTATCAAAAAAAGTATAAAAACATAAATAATAAAATTAATTTGATTAACACAAACCTTTACCAACGTTAAGCCAATTCCACGATAAATACTTGCAACTCCCAATTCTTTCCAAGTAGTTTTAGCAAAATCGAACATGCTTTTGTGCTTTCCCTCTAATAAATCATTTACTTCAAATCTAACTTTTAAAGAGTCTAATGGTGCGGCAACTAGAGATTGTGCAGCTCCTGCAATAGCTCCAGAGGTAAATACAATTGAAAATGGTGGTGGTGAATGTAAACTATGATTATAATCCGATTCAAAAAAAGAAGAAGTTCCACTAAATTGTGAAAGAACTGTAATATATGTTGTAAATAGGACTGCGCCTATCATTGAATTCGCTACCAGTGGAGGTAAGACATGGCGTGGTATAAATATAAACTAGAAAAAAATAAATAATTAACGTCGGATTATTTTTTTTTTTTAATTGTACTTCAGAAATTTATTTGCCGAGTTTGACTGACTAGTATGCATACACCATGTTGTTTGACTGCATTAGTTAACATGCCAAGGCTTGTTGAATGAAACGAGAATTTCCTGTCATTATGAGTTGGTGGCATAATTGCTCGAGCCATTATTAGATAATCAACTCTAAGTGGCCTAAACAACTAAGAGACAATTTAAAATAAATTAATAATTCATGTATTGAGAAATGTATTTAATGGAAGTTTTCAATGTTTACTTTTATTGGGGTTCTATAAAATAGTGCAAGACCTTGTAGTATAAGCGACCTCGCAAATGCCGCTGGTGCTGCAACAGAAGCCGCATTTTTTGCGTTTTGCTTTTTCTCTGAAAGGTCTTGTACTGTCATTTATTAAAGAATAAAATTTCTCGATCAGCGATAATCAGTTAAAGTTTTACGTTCACGTGGAACATTAAATTATCAGCCAATCAAATTTGCAACATGAAAATGCGAGATTAATTCGATTATATTATCTGTTATTAAGCTTCTATGACACCAATCACATCAATCATAAAGAAATATAAAAAAAATACAGGATACAAAATTCCAAAGAAAAAAGCTTTCTTTCATATGTTTCATTAATAATTCTGTGTATATAATAATAATACAATTAGCCGTTATTAAATACAAAGAGAAAAAATGTATATATATAAATAAACACTATTCCTAAAGAATATAAAGATTTTTAGAAATCATCTCCTTCATTGGAAAAGAAGTGAGCGTAAGCAATAACTGCAATAAATTTTTTTTAAAAGACAAACGTATATTAGTAAAAAGTTTTCAAATAGCTACATCTAATATGTAACTTACTCGTTGAATAAACCAAAGCACCGCCTCCAGTACTCATAATCATTGCCGGAATTGTTATTACATGAGAATGTGCAAGAACGATCGGTAAGCCTATTATTAAATATAAGAATTTATAAATATCAATCAAATAGATTTCACCAGGATAGTTATATAATTATCACTCACAAACTCCAGTAACAATTAATATTGCTGTTAGGAATCGTCCAAAATCTTTATATCCATTACTACTTTATAAAAAATATAAATTAGTAAAAAATACCATACATGAAACAAAAAACAGAATATTTTAACATTTACTTATTATAATCTAAGTAATCATCATTACTACCACATCTTGAAAATATAAAATTTGGTAAAGGTGCTAATACATATGTTGCAACTATCAAATAAAAAGAAAAAAATATAATTAATAAGTGTAATAAAATACTAAGTAGAAAGAATTTACATAACAGAAAAAATTTTACTTGCCGACAAACAATGGCCACCAATTTCTAAATAAATTTTGAAAAAAAATAATTTATTATCGAATTCTTAAGTATGAAAAAACTTACACAAAGTTGACATACTGATATAATGCTCCAGATAAAATGACGAGTAGGAATCCGCAAGCTAGAACAAAAGCTAAAGCTATAATGCTTTATAAGAACAATAATTTATTCAAGTGTTTAAATAACGTTAATTATAAAATATAGCTTTTTAACTCGACAATACGTACGCTAATAATATTCGAAGAGAAATACAGTTCGTTAGCTTTATTGTAAAAAAAAAATAAGCTAAATAAACAATATAAAGAAACATACTTTTTACGCCCGCCATTTTATATAAAATAATAATAACTACAAAATGGTAATCGTTAGTGACAAGAAGCTTGCTAGAAAATATTAGAGTACGTCCTCGTGAGTTCGTGTGATATATACTGTATTACATTTTGGCTAGTTGATCATTTCCGATCTTGCAATCTGCGCCATATAAATTTTTCGATAATCGCTTTTTTATTGTAGCTCATTTAAAAATACATTTAGAATTACTAATTACTTAATATGCTGGTAGTTGATACAAGCACCCAAACGACACATTCCACATTATCAGAAGAGGTCATCGAAGAAGTTATAGCATGTGCACGTTATGGCGAATTAGAAGAGTTGAAGACTATCATAAACTCATTTCCTGTCACACATCTTGAATTAAAGGACAACCTAGGAAATACTGCTTTACATATGGCAAGTGCTAATGGACATTTAGGTAGATACAATCATTGATGTTCTATCGATATTCATAGAAACCTTTTAATTAATTTAAATCCAATTAAATAGAGATCGTAGAATTCATAATACAAACATTGGGATCATATCTAGAAAAAATTATAAACATACAAAATGATTCAGGGAATACACCGTTGCATTGGAGTGCTTTAAATGGTCACGAAAAAGTAGTCGAACTATTAGTCAAAAATGGAGCAGACGCAAAGGTATAATGAATAATTTATTTAATCCTGATTTAATTTATACTAAATTTGTTCGGATTATTTATTTTAAAGATTAAAAATAGGGCGGGAAGAACCCCAATGTTTGAAGCTCAACAGAATAATCATGAAAAAGTAATAGAATTTTTATTGGCAAATGTGGATCCCGACAAAGAGGAAGAATCCACTACAACAGAAAATGATGCAGATACATATTAAATGAGATACATATAATAAACATTTTTTTATGAATTCATGTATGTTCTTGTGAATTTGAAGCCAAAAGCAGTCAAGTGATCGACTAATTATCATATTATTGAACTGGAATTGCTTCTTTGACTAACAGGTTTGACTGGTGTCTTCAATGTATTATCCCACTATTTATTATTGATATCTATATATAGAGTGAAGTACTACTTCAAAAGCAATGTTCCTTTAAATGAACTGAATGAACCTTCTCTTCAAATAGAGCCCCTTTAAGTGACACGCTTTAATGATGTCATTCCCTTAACATTTAATATTAAAAGTAATAATGAATTGTTCTTATTGAGCTTTACGTACTCGAGATAACATTTAATTAATTCTATTCATTACAAACAAAAACAACATAATAAAAGAAATCGAACTAGTAAAAAAAAATGACGAGACATTTTAATCCTCTTTATTACTTTCATTCGCTGAATCTTCTGACATATCTATATTTGCAATCTTTAATTGTCTTTTACTTTGTGCCATCTTCCTCTTGTTATATCGAGCAGCTTTCTGTATATTAATACTGTGTCGAATCTAATAACAATTAAGAAAAAGTAATGTATTAATTCCATTTCTCAACACAAAATATGTAATTAAGAAAATACTCAATTACCTGATTTGGAGTTATAAATTCGGGATTTGCATAAACAGTCGCACCACAAAAACTGCCTTCAAATATTCTAATGACATTAAGGACAAACCTCGGCCCAATCTCTACGAGAGAAACGTCCTTGTCATTGAACTTTTTATTGGGATCTGTTGGATCTTTCTCAACAATCTAATAATGTAAAGATAATTATTGACAAAATTTACTGTGAATTGAACTTTGATCAAAAAAAAAAACAAGAAACCTGAAAGTTTCGAAACCATATTCGATTATCTGCTATAGTAAATGATATGACATGATCAATGAATGGTTTTGAACGACGGGCGCCCTTTGGAACTCCAAAAATCTAAGAATAATTTATGTCAATATGCTTAATAAAAATTAAATTAATATAATATATAATAATAATATACATACATGAGTGAAAACTTCTTTAATCAAGATTAAATGAGGTTCTGACTCGAAATTTTTATCAAAAGACAAAATATGACGTGAACCCTTAAGGCAATTCCCTGTCATTTTGAGTTCATCCATTGTGTGAACTTAAAAGAAAACACGTTACTCTATGAAAGTTATTAAACATTTCGATCTTACAAAGTCGAATATAACAACTCACTATTTTGAACGTGAAATTTAATACTTGGGCCATTTGGAGTCTTACTTGTCCACATATAAAGATCCTGACGTTTACGTACCTCAAAAAAAACACAGTTATTACAATTATTTAACTCGGCAAGTTCATTAAGTACTCCAAGCTTGAATTTTGTGTCAAGCTTCGAATCTAGCCAAAAAAGAATATTAAAAAGAATCTACTTGTAAAACTTAGAGAATTTAACTCAAACCTTTTTTAAAATGAGGTAAAAGAGCCTCTAAGTCATTCAAAAGATGTCTCTGACTAATTTATGCAAAGTAAGTTAATTATTAATGTATGTTTAATAGATAATGATAACTTTTTTAAGCTATACCGGTAATTAATTCCTCTCGAAGACAAAGCTAGGACTCTTTGCTTATTTTTAGTAGATTTCTTTTCAGCAGAAACCTCCTCTTTGTTATCAGCAACTGCTTTGGCTAATTTAAATATCGTAGCCATAAGAAAAAAAGTTGAGATAACAAGCCACTATCAATTGATTTCAACAAAGTCAGATGACCTTAATATATCACTGGCGTGTTACGTATCACAGTGAGTTTTATAAAAATAGACAACCATGTGATGCGATAATAAATTTAGATATTGGGGCTCGGACTTTTGTTCCCGGAATCCCCATTATATGCCCTCAATTCGTCATCCTCCTGTATAAATAGCAAATGATACCCAATCACATTGGTTCAACAACTAGCTGCATTGTTTATAACCTACCATTGAAAGTTATTTTTAAAGGTTATCTAATTTCTCTCTTGAAATATTAAATATGAATTACGAAGAAAGTCGAGAACAAGATGTAAATATGTTGGCTCTTCCGCGGCCAACCGATAAAGATTTTAGTTCAGCAACAATTGCGATTGTTGCTCAGCCAGACGGATCTAGCCACCAAGAAGTTCCAGTGTCTCCGGTACCTTCTCACGATTCCAGCTTCACTGTAAGTCCTAACGCATTTAGAGACGGTTCCTTTGTTTCAACTGACGTTGGAGCCACTAGTTCAGGTGTAGTTTTGACTGTTGGTACAACCTTTGAAACTTGGGAACATGTTGACGAATATCTTGAAATATATGGACGTGAGCAAGGTTTTGTTGTTAGAAAAAAACGTGTTGAGAGAGACGAAATGGGAATGGTTAGGAAAAGGACATATGATTGTGAACATGGAGGTCGATACACGCCAAAGAAAAAGGCGGCCTTATCTGAACAACGTAATAGGACATCAAAACGTATTGAATGTGGGTGGCATATCAATCTTTCTTTTCCCAAAACTAGTACACATATAACTGTTACCACCTTTGTAAACGAGCATAATCATGTACTTAATCAACAAACGCGAGAAACTCGTCCATCAACACATGCATCAACTGCCCACACGGTTTCACCAAGGTATCGTAGTGTACTGGAGGCAGCAGCACCTAAGAATCGTAATTTGCCAAAAGCCGTGCTTGAAGACATTGAATTTTACACCCTTCACGGAAATCTTGGTGTCACGACCCAGCGACAATTATTGAAGGCGAAATATCCAAATCACCAACTTCCTGCACGTGATATTGCTACTGCAGTTCAAAAGTTTAAAGGTGACACAGATATAAAGCAATTAGATAATGACGCAGCAAAACTTTGGATTTGGGAATTAGCTAGAAAAGCAACCCAAATTGCAGTTGATCAACAAGATAATACTTTGGAAGAGCTCTTAAAAAGTTATATAAAAGAGAAAGAAGAACGTACGAGAACGAATTCTCAGAATGCACAGCAATGAGCTTGACTATATAAATTTTAACCGTTACTTTACAAGAGATATGTTTGTAACAGAACAGAAACCATTTAGAGGTAAAGGGTTATTTAAGATAAGGGAATTAGAAACTTGCAATGTAAACCGTTTAGGTAAAAAAGAGAGAAGTTTTTTTTTGAGAATTTTTTCGATTATTGTATTTTTTACAATATGATTTTCACGTTGATTTATGGTCAATAGCATCATGGAAACGAGCAATTTTGAGAGATTAGTAGAAGGATTGATTTGCATTCTAAGTTCAATAAGTAGGACATTATGCATGATTCAAAAAAAAAAAAGAATTCTATTTATGTTATTTCTTTTTTTTTTTGCTTTCTTTTCTTGGACTATGTTACCATCCAAAATAAATATTTTTTTTATGAATAATTTCATTATCATTTTGACTTGTGTATAGTCAGTCATTATCTCTAATTTATTACTTACATCGAAACGAGTTTTTTTATAATTTGTATTTTTTAATTTATAGAAAATTTATTCGATTTATTTTCACATCTAACAAAGTGTTTCATACATTAATTTCAGATTAATCGTTCGGCTTTTCTAAATACAATTAGTGAATTTGTAAAGGTGATTTTGTATTTATATAAGATACTATACATCTAATTCTTATTTTATTTACGCTAATTATAATTGCTTTGAGATATATCTTAAATATAATGATATGTAATCTTAATGTGAAATCATACCAAGTTGTAGAAAAGTTTAGAAGAAAAATAATAAAATTAACTTTTTTATAAACGATTCGACCTTACTAATATTCGTATAGTAAAAAAGTATGAAATACGCTTGAGATAAAGAAAGCGTACTCGTTTGTTCACGTGTCATGGTCCGGCAGCGTTACAGTTTACGAATCTAGTCGTGTCGTTAATTTGCGAGTTAATTTGTGAAACAAATCATTTATGCAAGCCGATCAAAGCTGTAATTAATGATCAATCATTGGTCAAAAAGATGGGTGATTCTAGAAAAAGAATATGATAGCGGAGTTTCTCGTTGACGCTTTTTTTTCAAGGTTCTGATGTCCTTGCCTTGACAAAACCTGTCCAGCCCAGAAATTTATAAGTTCAAAAATGGACGAGCAAGAGCATAATAATGTTTTGGACGTCGAGGGTGAAGGCAGTGCTATTGATAAAATGCGGGCTAAGCAAGAAAAGAAGAACATGAAAAAAGCTAAAAAGAAAGCTGCCAAAAATTCTGCTAGTGGATCAACAGCGGGTTTAGAAGATACCGCAGCAAAACAATTAGAATTACAAGAAAAAGTGAGAATGTTGGTCAATCAACTAGCAATTCGTGAGGCAATACAGCCACCTCCTAGCGCTAGTAATTCACAGAAACAAAAAGATATGAGTTCGCATAAGTTCTGGAGTACCCAGCCTGTTCCAAAGCACGGTAAATTTTGAAATATTCGTGAATGGTTGCACTCATAGTTCATTATTAATTTTGATCAATTGAATAGGTGAAACAATTGAGGAAGATGGACCGATAGAGTCTAATACTCCATATGATCAAATTCGTAAAGAGCCGTATGCTTTGCCCAAAGAATTTGAGTGGGTAACTCTGGAGTTGAATAATGAAAACGAGGTAATCATTTCTTTTTGCTTTTGTTTATGTCCCAACTTATTTTTAATTATTTAAAGATGTGTTGTTGGTCGGATTATCTTAGCTAAACGAACTCTATACTCTCTTGACAAATAATTATGTCGAAGATGACGATGCGATGTTTCGCTTTGACTATTCTGGTGATTTTCTAAAATGGTAAGATTTCTCGCTCATTAATTCACTTCCTTGTGTGAACCATTTTTTGATCAACTCTTTTTATTTGTGGTAAAGGGCTCTTCAACCACCAGGTTACTTAAAAACTTGGCACGTAGGTGTTCGTGTCTCTTCTAATAAAAAACTTGTTGCATTCGTTAGTGGTATTCCAGCAGATATTCGAATTTACGATTCGTAAGTAATTTAAATTAACTATTATATCATAAAAACCAACATACTGATACCCTTTATTTTGCTTCACTAATCTCGAAAGTCATCAGCATCTTGTTGAAATCAATTTTTTGTGTGTCCATAAAAAACTTCGAAGTAAACGATTAGCACCCGTGTTAATTAAAGAAATCACACGACGCTCTCATTTACAAGGGATATTTCAGGCGGTATATACAGCTGGAGTTGTCCTTCCAAAACCCATTTCCAAGGCTCGGTAAGCAATAATTCAATATATTATTTACCCATTTTTACAAAAATACTTTATTTATTTATTTATTTATTTTAGGTATTATCACAGATCACTCAATCCCAAAAAACTGGTCGAAACAAATTTTTCACGTTTGCCTCAAAATATGCCATTATCACGTTTCATTAAAAAATTTAAGTTACCGGCTGAAACATCTACACCTGGTCTCAGACCAATGGTAGAGGAAGATGTTCCCGAAGTTAAAACATTATTAAATGAATATATGAGTAAATTTAATTTTGTACCTGTGTTTAAGACTGATGATGAAGTCAAACATTGGATTTTAACGAGAGACAAAGTCATTTGGTCATTTGTAGTCGAAGTAAATATTATCATGATCTCGTTGTAAGTTCGTTTTTGTAAATATATGATTGCTTTAACAATTTTTTTTTTAATTTATTAGGACCTTGAAACAAAGAAACTGACCGATTTCTTTTCGTTTTATTATTTACCTTCCTCGGTTATTGGCCACCAAGTACATAAAACTATAAATGCGGTTTATTTATTCTATTACGCCGTAAAAGAAGCTGACGAAAAAGCGATAAAAGGAAGGCTACAAGGTTTGATAAAGGATGCATTGATATTAGCGAAATTGGTTTGTATTATGTGATTTTATTGTTATTTATTTTTTATATTTGAGCTATTTTGAATTAAAATAATTTTCTTATTATTTCTCAGAAAAATGTTGATGTTTTCAATTGTCTTGATCTTTTGGAAAATAAATTATTCATTGAGGATCTTAAATTTGGGGCTGGAGATGGATATTTGAATTACTATATGTATAATTGGCGCTGTAAGGATATGGGAAGTGATAAAGTAGGCGTAGTTATGTTGTGATTTCTGACAATCCATAATTATTGAAATGATTGCAAGGTTTGTGTGTATGAAATCTATTTATTGAACTAATGAGTTAATTGTGATAAAGTTGTTTAATAAAAACCAGATAAATCTTATACTTTTCATATCAACATACATATTATTAAATATATAAATATTGATCTTAATTATGTACAGTATACAAATTTTAATTATTTAAAATACATTAGCTAGAATGCAAAATAAGTTCTCTACTTATTCAATTATAATAGCTATTAATAGTTTTCATGTGGTATTATATAATTATCAAAAAAACTTATATTATATTAACAGTAAAATATTGTAATATTAAAAAAAATGTATTGCTAAAATTCTTAATAATTGATTTAAATTATAAATTATGTAAACTATATAAAACTTTATAGTAATATTAATTTTATTTATATAACATAATATGTAATATAAAACTCTAAATATTTAATATATTTAATATACAATTTATATCTGATTTATTTTGCAATTATTTTATTATTTAGTGGTTCAATTAGCAAATCATTTTTTTTAATAATGAGTTTTACAAAATAAAAAAAAAATAATTACATAAAATTAAGAACCTGATTTTGTAATTTTCAAATTTGGTTAAATTTACTCTTTTTTATTAGTAAAATCAAGTTATGACTTGGTTTATATGGATTTATAAAATTAATTACTTACTAAAATACTAATTAGTCAATTAATTTAATTATTTTAATTATACTATAACATTACTTATTTTTATACTAAAATGGAAATTATTATAGATCTAAAGTGATAAAATTTTGTATTACAACATCTATTTTTAATTTATTTATATTTTTTTACTTATCAATATAGTGAGCACAAATTTCAGTAATATAATATATGCAAATAAATAAACTTTATTACAATTTCATTACATGATCTAATAAGTGATTAATATTCTATATGTATCCTTTATTCTTCACTTCATTTTAAACAATAAATATATATAAAATAGTTATTAATTATATTAATTTATATTAAAAAATAAAAGTTAATTAAATTTAAATTTTTATTAAACTTTAATTATTTTATTTATAATGTATACAATTTAAAACCAGATAAAAATGAATAAAAAAAAAAATTTTTTATTATTATAAAAATTTTAAGCCTGTTATTTAATAAGGTATAGAAAGTTTATTCTAATTAGACAATTCAATTATAAAATCTATTTTTTTTTAAATTATCTAATTTAATATATATTTTATATTAAAGTTAAAAAATTTGGTCATAATAAATTAAATTAGAATTAGAATTCAATAATAATTTTAGCCAGATTTTTTAATAAACAAAAATTATGTTATATAATTTATAATTCCAATCTATATTTTGAAATCCTTTTCACTTAATTCTTAAATCACAATTCAAATATATTTTTAAAAAAAATAAATATATAACTTAAAAGTCAATTTATCTATAAATACTAGCAGAAAATTACTATATAAATTCAGGGTAAAGTTATTATAAAAATGCTAAAATTAAATAAATTTTATAAACTATAAAAATTGCAAATTATCATGCTGTGATACCAAAATTTTATATGATAAATCTGAAATGTCAAAAATAAAAAAAAAAAATTGAGAAATTTATTTATTTGTTTAAAACTTTACTTTAAAGTAATATCAAATTTAACAAATATATATACAGCCAACTTCCTCTATAGTTACTCTTGTTATAACCATATTCTACTATATAGTTACACCAGGACCCCGCTTACTTCTAATAGAGGTCTCCGAAAATATAAGGTAAAATTTATATTAAAAAAAAATTTTAGGTATCTTAATAGATAAAGGTAAAATTATATATATGACAAATAAAGGTCTCCGGATATGTAAGGTAAAGTTAAAATAGGTTTCCGGTTTTATAAGGTAAAATCAAATATAAGTTTACAAATGTTTCGGTAAATAATAAGGTAAAATTGTATATAAAATTTAATATTTACCTTATATATACTAATTTGAAATATTGTACAACAATTATTACAATATTTGGTAATATACGTTTTATAATTTTTTCTCAAAATAAAAAATTTATTCTCTTCTTTATACTTGTAAAAACCATTTTATATTTTTAATTTTATTTGCATTAGCACTATCTTTTTGAAAATTATTACAAAAATTAGCTTTTAAAATATAAAAATTCGTACAGCAATTAGCAACTTCAGAATTTAATTTCAGTACTTTGGTTAAATCA